TTGCAGAGAGACTCATTAGAAAGGGCCATGTCTGCTTGTGTTAAAAAACGTAAGTGTTACAGTCACTAATCTTTGGTGATGACAGAGCAAAGTCTAGAAGCAGATGCTATTCAAAAGGCTATTGTCCTCTTCTTCCATACCAAGATTTAGTAAGTTGTTTTTATATTGTTTTAAGAACTACCTGCTATTGCCAGTATGAAAAAGACCATGCCTGCCTGAAGTCATTTTTTTTTCCAGACTAACAGATCACAGCAGCAGAAAGAATAATATTTGATGTCTTGGATAAATGCGTGCAAGCAATTGAGGCAGGTTATTGAAACAGATTGAGGACTGAAAGGCACTATCAGACCTGCTAAATGTCTGATTTAGGGCTCTAGCAAAATGGAAAGATAATTCAGAAGTTTAGAACATCGTGGTTTGTTCAAAAGTGGAAGGAGAGGCATCTGTTCTCCATCCATGTTTATTTGTTTTATCCAAGGGTTCATGAGACATCAAAGAGAGGAGTATGCATGTTGATATTTTGTACTATTTCCTTGAAGGATATAGTAAAATGCTATTACTGAAATGGCCAAGAACATTATACTACTGCCCAGCAACAAATATTTTTTTTTGGGGGGGATAAGGTTGAGAGGATGGATATCTAGGCACTTTCAGATAATTCAGTAAATTATCTTTACTTTTTCAGTCTTGAGTTCAGACTTGATTTTAAACAGAATCAATTCTGGATGCTTTATGGATCATCTCCTCTGAGGAGGAGACAAGAGTAATATTCTGTTTGCCGTACTTGCTTTGATGGTTTTGGAATGCTCTCCTGTTGTATGTATGATGTGGCATTCTCATATGCTCTGTACTTGAGTTTATGGTATTCCTACAGGTGAAAGAGTTCCACCAGAGTGGGTAGTTACATTGCCCCTACTTCAGTGGTGGGTTTCAAATATTTTTAGAACCTCTTCTGTAGGTGTGGCCTGCTTCATGGGAGTGGCTAGCTGATCATGTGACTGGATGGGCGTGGCCAACTTGTAAAATGTAGTGAAACTCACTTAACAATGCTCTTGCTTAGCAACCAAAATGTTGGCTCAGAAACACTGGCATTTGAAGCACACAAGTCTTAAAGCTGTCAAGTTAAAAGACCCTTGCACCCCTAACCCTTTAGAAAAAAAATCCCAGGGGTGTTTAAACTTGACAGCTTTAAGACTGTGGACTTCAACTCCCAGAATTCCTTCTCTCGCTCTTCATCTTGATGATGTGCGGACGGATGGGGGAGGGAGCTGGAACCAGTTCTAAACAGCACTGTAGATTTGTGGAACCTCTTCTATAGAAGAGGTTAGAACTGGCAGGAACCCATCCCTGCCCTACTTATTCTTGATTAAGAAAAATGCATCTTTTAAGAGCCTAGGTGGAAGAAAACATGAAATCCTGGATTAGATTGCTAACACTCCATGACTGATCAAAGTATGAACAAATGGACAATGAAATAGAGGGTACAAACAGGCAAACACAATAAAGTTATTGAGCCAGTAGAAAATTATCTCGGTATAAAATTTGAAAAGTCCTGTTCTGCTTCAATAGTAAGGCCAGAAAATAACGCTGTCCTTATACATTTTAGGCTATAAGGAAGGGGATGGTTTTATTGCCCTAATAGCCCTTACCTGTAGGGGGGAGAACTACCAATCACTTTCCTCAATATTGGGTAGCTTTGGGCAAGCATAGGCAGGTGCTTGACATGGCTTATTTAGTTAAGGGTTAAGCCCCGCAATACCAAATAATGGGAGATATTCTCTATGGTGAACTTCAATTAGACTATTTCTGAACAGAGTCAAGGGAGGGAGGGAGGGAGGAAGGGAGGAAGGGAGGAAGGAAGAGAGGGAGGGAGGGAAGGAGGGAGGGAGGAGGGAAAGAAGTCAGTCCTACCCAAACTCCTATCAAAAATAGCCTAGAGGAAGGCATGGGTAAGCTCTTCTGAAAGAGTTGGACCTCTGTCCAAAAATAATCTGTTTTATAGCAAACAGTACAGAGGTTGGACATAAAACAGGAAGGAACAACTGATAATGAGTGAGTTATAAGTGCAAGGAAATGGCAATGATGGCAATAAGCCTACGGTAATTCTGATCTCATGGTACTGTGGAAGTAGCATATGGAGACCCATGTAGCTGGAATGAAAAATGGCCTCTGGACAATCAAAGTGATAAACAGTACAGCCATCTAAAATCCTTGAAAGATTGTTCTACAATTGTTTATGAAATTAACAAACCCCAGTTCTATTTCTAGGTTTAAACTAACCTTCATGGCACAGCACAAATCTAACATTCTCAACCTGTTAGCAACATATCTTGCGTTGTTTAAAAAAAAAAAACTATTTCTACAAGAGACTTTCTAAAACCTGAGAAGCACTTTAGAAACCTAAAGTCAGTCATTGGGTAGATGTAGTCATGTGTCTGGCATCATGGATGGCATTTCCCCAAAAATCGAGGGAGGGTACCTGACTCATAGCAACCTACTGAGCAGCTTTCATCTTAAATCATGTCAATAGCTACATTGTCAGTGAAGGATGCTAGCTTATACTTAGGACCAACACAGGGGTGGGTTGCTGCCAGCATTACTGCTGATTCATTGCTCCGCGCACATGCACAGTTGCCCATAAATAGGTCTGTGCATGTGCAGAACATTAAAAAAAAAGGGGGGGAAGAAACCATGCTGCGTGGTTTCTCCCCCACCCCTGACGTGGGCAGGCCTGGGTCACTGCCAGTTCTGGTGACCCAGGCTGGTAAACCACTACCGGTTCAGTTGAACCGGTCCAAACTGGTAGGAACTCACGTCTAGACCAACATTATACCTGGAGAAAGGGAAACTTCTGTACAATGTTAAGTTGCTTCAATTGTGGACTGGGGAAGAGACAAATGTAATGTCATAAAGAGATGCCTGCAAAAATGGCTATAAGGGCATGTTAAGGGGGAGGTGATAATAAGCCCAGAGAATTTAAAAAAATGGAATAAATAGCACTTAAAAGAAATAAATAATCCCTCATGCAACTACCCCTGGCAACTTTACCTCTACCTTCCAGTTTCTACAGGCTTTGGATATGAATTCTGGAGGCTCTGTCATATTAAATCTGTTTTAATCTCCAGGTTCTTGTATTCTGCAAGCATCCAGCCAAGTTTGATTGACTGAGAAGGAAGAAACTCCTTAACTTCCTTTCCCTCTGAATTTCAGTTGCCTGTCACTCATGGGGACTATTTAAAAGTTTTTAGGAGACATCGGTGAGACAGCATGCGATTCCAGCTAAAGAGCTAGTCAGTTAGCCAGCATTGAATTTTGCTGTAATTTAGTTGGTTCCATTTTAATTTTTCTATCTTAGTTTTTACTGAATGTCTTAAACATGTTATTTAAAAGTTTATAACGTCAACACTAAATACATAATGAATTAAAATAAACGGGGAGAAAGATCCATTTGAGAGGCTTATCACAGGGTCAATAGAGGAAAATCCAGATTTCTGATTATTTGTACATCTGCCAACTATGCTATTGCTTATCACCCTGCCAGTTCCAATATTAAATAATTCAGAAAATTAGCACTAGTAGCTGCAACCCTATCAATTCTGCTTACACTAGATCAGTGTCAAATTCAAGGCCTGCGGGCCAGATCCGGCCCATAGGGTGCTGAGATCTGACCCACGGGGCCACCCTGGAAAAAGTGAAGGACTGGCCCACGGTGCCTCTCCCAGCGAAAATGGAATTTGGGAGGACTGCACCTCTTGAAGTCCACCTCTCTTAAAGTTCCAAGTTTGAAAAACACTGATCTACTTTGTGATATATTAGGCGAGAGTCCATCATAATCTAGATACAATCTAGAATTGTGGATTTATAGTCCATCGGATCAAAATCTCAATTAGTGTAATAAAGAAAGAGCTAGAATATTAGTAACAAATGCCTGTCCAGCCTAGTCCTAAATACTTTCAATAAAGAAATCTCTTACTCTCTAGGTCAGGAATAGGAAATAGTTTTCCTCCAGGGATTTCAGTTTTATTTTATTCTTGAATATGTTTTGGCTTCTGAGGTCCACTACTGATGATGGAATGATATTAGTAGACTGTGTCGGGCTGAGATTTTAGGCCCTTTTTTTCTTGATTTTGGAAGCGGTTCATTTTTTTGTCTTACAGAAAACAATATTTTATTACTCTAGAGACTAAGCACAGTTATTTTAAGCATCGATCTACCAAAGGGGGGGGGGGGAAGCAAGAAAGAGGGAATCATGCTGCAAAGTTTGGCAGTGTTTTTTGGGGGGTGGGAGCTTTAGAGACTGCAAAAATGGGAGCCCGCAGATTGCTTCCCTCCTGCTACAGATAATCGGTGTCACTTTGGAACTGCACGTACTTTTCTCCTTATGATATGATAAGGCTGTTTTCAGTCATGAGAAATAATGTTCTAATAATCAAAAAAAGTTGTTGCTAATTGCCTGGAAGCATCTGTTACTACTCTTGAAACAATAGGGGAACTGACCTCTAAATTAAGCATACATTTCAAGGAATCTTTTCTTATTTTTCTTTTGTTTAAACGTGACATCAATTTACCTCATGTGATGTCAGTAAAATGGCATATTATCTTTCTCACAATTAAAATACAAAAAAATGGTTTCAGGGTCCTACATATGCCAACTTTCTTAGTTCCTTAGCATCACTGCAAGGAGTTTTTATAATACATAAAAGTGTCATTCAGCAATAATTAATAAAACTACATCCCTTTCACATTAATTAAGAAATAATGTAAACACTTCAGCCCCAGTCGCATAAATCTTTACACATCATAAAGTTTAATATAGCAGAAGCATCTCAGTTGGTTAGAAAATATTCTAATTGCAGTGAACAACCCAATATGTTTTCTTTACCTTAGAACTCCAGTTCAGAATGAAAAAAAGGTACAGATGTGAAATGAATGAAATGCAGTGCAATAACATTTTTTACGGAGTAAAATCATAAAATTATAATGTATGGTGGTATCCTTACCCTTCCGTCCGGAATATAGTTTTAAAACTGTCTCCAAGGCTCTTGTACCCGGAGGGATCAGATTTTCCTCTTTGAATTTGGAACCTATGAAAGTAGTGAATGAAAACTTAGAAGCTATACTAGGGTTTTAAAATATACATTTTACAAGGATTGTAAGAATTTTCTAAATGTTATGCTCATATTTTATCTCTAACTTCCTTCTTGAATGTTAAATTATACATTGTTTCAGGCAATTCTTAGGGATGTAAAAACGATCTGCCATGAATTTCTTTCAAGTGAAATAACATAGTCTACCAACATGGGCTCTATTACAGCATAAACAGGAGCAGAACATATAGAACACACAATGCCTGCCTTGAATATTTTCTAAAGTATTTCCTAAATACTTTCTTAAAACATTTCCCTAAAATAACTATATTAATGGCATTGACAAACCAACAAACTCTGATATGGAAGGACACATCTAAAAAAAAACCCTGAACAAAACACTATCTGTGGGGAACAGTGGTATACAAATGTATATGGCCATGTAAATTATACTAAGTAAATACATGTTATTTTGACCAGACCACACAATCAGTCAATGCAGCACCTGTATCTCAATTCAATAGGAAGTTTTCAAGATTACTTTACAATTTGTAAAAAATAGTACATTATGTTCATAGAATTAAACTGAAATACAGTTTAAATTTTCTATCACATCATGTTGGCTCTTTCCAGTTCATACAGCACTATTATTAGATAACTTCAGATTTTACATGAAAGACAAGTCTTAGGGTAATGATCTTTTCCTGTATTCCAGTTTTGCTAGAACACAAAGATAATAGTCCAGCACTTCAAATATGCAGTCCTTTTACACCTCTAAATCTGGATGGTTGATATCAGGGGTGTCAAACTCAAGGCCCACGGGCCAGATTTGGCCAGCAGGGTGCTTAGATCTGGATTGCGGAGTCACCCTGGAAACAGCGAAGGATTGGCCTGCGGTGCCTCTGCCAGTTAAAACGGAGCTTGGGAGGGCTGTGGGCCGCCCTCTGAAGCTCTGTTTTCACTGGCAGAGGCTGTAACAGCCAAAAATGGAGCTCGGGAGCCTGTTTTTGCTGGCAGAGCACTTGAGCCACCACAGGGACTGACACAAGTGATGTAAAGCTGGCCACTCCCACCCTAGTCACACCCACCCTGGCCCCCAGAGGTCAAGCACAACCCTAATGCGACCCTCAATGAAATTGCGTTTGACACCCCTGGTCTATACTCATTCCTCCTCCCTTTAATTCTATTTTACATTTTGATATATTATATTGTTTCAGTGTTGATATGTCAGTAATGATATTTGAGCAGCATTAATTTAATTTATTAACATTCTATTGCTTATATGACTTAGAATATTGAAAATAAAAAAGACAAAGAAACATCTTGTTTACTGTATTTTTCGGAGTATAAGATTCACTGGAGTGTAAGACACACTGGAGTATAAGACGCACAAAATTAAATAAACGTAGGTAGGTAGGTAGATCGAGGGATACAGAGGGAAAGAAAGAGTGAGAAATACAGTAGGTAGGGAGGGAGAGAGAGAGTAGTTAAGTAGGTAGATAAAGGGATAGAGAGAGAGAGAGACAGAAATAGAGAGAGAGAGAAATAGAGAAATACAGTAGGTAGGGAGAGAAAGAGAGGGTATAGGTAGGTAGGTAGGTAGGTAGGTAGGTAGGTAGGTAGGTAGGTAGGTAGGTAGGTAGGTAGGTAGGTAGATGGATAGAGAAAGAGAAATAGAAAGAGATAGAGAAATACAGTAGATAGATAGGGAGAGAGAGAGAGAAATACAGTAGATAGGGAGAGAGAGAGAGAGAGGAAGTAGGTAGGTAGGTAGATAGAGGGAGAGAGGGAGAAAGAAAGAGAGAAATACAGTAAGTAGGTAGGGAGAGAGAGAGAGAGAGAGAGAGGGAGAGAGAAGGTAGGTAGGTAGGTGTTTCCAAGTATATTTATCCATTTCTGCTGGGCAAAGAAATCACTGACAATCTGCAGCACCTGACTTTGTTTCTGCTGACACAGCATTTGACCAATCTAATTCTCATCAATCACTTTAACTAAAGAGCTTTCTGAAAGGAAAAAAAGTTTTTGTACTCCCCAAAACAGCCCATTTTTTTGAGAAAACGGGCCCGTTTTTTTAAAGAGGCATGAATAGCCTTGGGAAGAATTTTTGACGAAAACAGGCCCGTTTTTTGTCAAAAAAATTGCATGGAGGCTTATAGAGTGCTGCTGGGGGGTGGGGGGGAAAGACAGCCCATTTTTTGCTCATCTCTGCCCTCCCCAGCCCCCAGGAGCTGTCTGAAAGCCTCCATAAGGGTATGCACGGCCATTTTGGTGAAGAGGGTGGGGCTTCAGGAGGCAAAAAATCCTGTATTCGATGTATAAAGTGCACACAGATTTTCAGCCTCTTTTTTGAGGAAAAAAAGTGCATCTGATACTCCGAAAAATATGGTATATACTAATTACAATTACAATTATATATTAATTATAATTTATGATATCAATATTATGAGCAACGTGAACTACATTTACAGCAGTGAGAATACATGTTGTTCAATACTGGAAGGAAATATCTGGTTGAGAACTTGGATTTGGTGAATATGATCCAATGACAAAGCTAACAATAAAAGTTTAATCAAATCTTAAAAAACAATGGCTCCCACACATACAATGTATCACATAGCAAGGCAAATATAATCACGTACAGTTCAGTTTCTAAGTAGACCTAAATGTCTTCCCTAGGGAAAAATAGTAAATAGGAATATCTTTGAAATTGATATTCTTTTTAAATTATTTTTTAAAAATTTTGAGAAATTCATTTCGCATAACTATTTTCTCCTATAGATACATAGAAAAACATTTTTTTTCTTTCTATTCAGTCATGTCCAATTGTCAGAGACATCCTGGGCAAGTTTTCTTGGAGAGGTTTTTCAGAGATGGTTTGGCATTATCTCTTTTCTAGGGTGAAGACAAAGTGATTAGCCAAGGTCACCCAGTTGGCTTTGTGCCTAAGGCAGGACTAGAACTCCCAGTCTCCCAGTTTATAGCCTCATCCCTTAACCACTACACCAAAGTGGCATGTGTTCCTGTACATACAGACACATTCTTATATAAAGAAATTATACAATAGAGACTTTAATGCTTAGAAATTAAAATGGTGCAATTTCTTTCTTTCCAATGTTATGTCCAATTTTCTATACTTTTGGTAACCTAACTGGATGAGGAAAAAGAGGCTGAATATTCAAAATGAACAGCATTTTTAAAAAGCTGTTGATCAACATGATTTTACCAAATATGAATTCATTAATATTCCTTAGTGTATCAGGTATGGATAACAAATATTGAATCATACTATTTACTTTGGATGAATGCAGTCACACTATGAGTTGAGGTAGAGTCTTCCTTCAGGCAAGAGTCCCAAGGTGTGACTCTGTAGTTTGGAATCCTTCATAAAAAACAGAAACATCTGTACACAAAGCTTACTTTTACTATAGATTTTATTGCCTACAAAATGCTGTGCAAGGGGATATGTAAGGGGTGAGAGAATAGTGGTGACTATCAACTTTACCTTCAAAACTCAAAGAGTGATTCAGCAGAAGCTCTTCTATAATCACATTTTTTGGGGAGGAGTGCTAAATTTTGTTTTTACTCTAACAGTGTCATCTATTTATGTCTCAGAATAAAAAAGCTGTAGGCATTTTTCTTTTCTTGAAAAAAAATCAAAATTACTGTACCCATATGTCTGAAACTGGACCACCTTTATCTATTCAGACAGGCTTCTGTGCCTGAAAATTCTGTCCCATTTTGTTAAAAAAGTAAAAATGTGAAGCTATGTGTAGATTTCACCTGTTGACAAAAGGATTTCCAAGATTTTGCTTTGATAGAGCCACCAAATCTGGTCTGTAAAAATCTACAGTAGTTGATTACGAGATGGATGCAAAGAACTAGAATTCTGTATTTTGTTAACAAGCAGCAGTTGCAAGATTTGAAGTTCCACTCTCCTAAAATCAAGCCTGAAGCAAATTTTATAATGGTTCATGTTCCTATTACTGCCAAGTCCACATCATATTTTAGGGCACACATTGAACTCTACAAAGAAGGTATGCTATACTCTTCTGTGTCATGAAAAGTACAATGTTGGTGTATTTTTACTGGAAGTATCAAACATTAGTCAGAGACTTAAGAGAAAAAGTAAAAGAAGAAGAAGATAACCACAAGACCTTTACTGCAGGATATTGATGCAATCTAAAACTAAATAAACAACCAGACAAATAAAAAAAACTAAGCAAATAGACATGGGGCTTTTATAGATCCTGCTTTCATACCCTTCCACCAGCACTTTTGGTGGGAAGATTTCATAGGATTCCTTATTTAGAGAGACTTTGCCTTTGTGGCTCCAATGAGGTAGAAAATCTTGCTGATATTCTCATATGGTTTCCTTTTAAAATTGCCCCACCATGTGTTCTGAACTCCCCAATCATCTCTAAATTTGACCTCACGCCCACAGAAGCGTGCCGACAAATGCGCACCGACGAAAGCGCGCCATCAACAAACAATGCAAAAACAACATAATAACCCTAACCCTAACCCTAACCCTAACCCTTACCTTAACCCTAATTGCGCTTTTGTGGGCGCAGTTTTGTCGGTGCTCTTTTGTAGGAGTGCTTTCGACGTCGCGGTTTTCTCAGCGCAGTTTTGTCGGTGCGGCTTTGTCGGGGGCTCATTTAATGGGTCACACTTACATACTAGGTGACCAGAAATGTTCCCTAAGTCATACAATTGTGCAAAAATTTAAATTACAGAATATTTGTAGCTCCAGGTTTAACATTTTACCTAGTTTGCTTATGAAAAATCTGCAAGAAAACAACCAAGCTCAGAGAGCAACAAGCTCAGCGAGCATTTTTAATTAGATATGCATTTTTTCTCGTAATAAAAAATTGCTACATTAAATTGCCATTTTTTTTACTGTATAGCTGGTCAAAAACAGTAATAAAGATTTGATTTATGACAATTCAATAACAATATGTAGAAGGCTTATTATATTTTTTCTAGCATTCATAATT